AAATGTGAGGGGCCCCCGTAGGGGTCAGTACTCCATAGAAGTACTAGTGACAAGCAGACTATATGAAGAATAACTAATGTTTCAGACACGAGACCCAAAAATAGGGTGATACATATATATAGATGTCTCTCATCCACCCGATGATACATAAATGTATATATATTCGTAAAATACTCAACCCGTAGGTCATTTACCTTAAAGAGTCTTTTAGAGATAAAGTTCTTACCTGACTTTTCTCACTCCTTTCCCGGTTGCCTAGCTCACAAGCTATAGTCTACCTTCGATTCATACTACCGAGTGTTTTAGGATCATTTACCGTCCAAGGCACTCAACCCAACTTGGAGTATTTAAGATCATTTACCGTCCAAGGGTACTCGGCCCCACCTGGAGTATTCTGGATCATTTACCGTCCAAGGGTACTCGACCCCACCTGGAGTATTCTGGATCATTTACCGTCCAAGGGTACTCGACCCCAACTGGAGTATTCTGGATCATTTACCGTCCAAGGGTACTCGACCCCACCTGGAGTATTCTGGATCATTTACCGTCCAAGGGCACTCAATCCCCAGTCTATCCTCTACCAAATCCTAACCTGGATACAGGGGCGGACCCACCCTAGGGCTAGGGGGTGCCCGTGCCCCTGCGGTGATTTATATTTATATATATATATATATATATATATATATATATATATATATAGGGGATGATTCAAATACAAAGATGTCTTCCCATGCAAAGTGAGAATTAATCTCGTGCATTCATTTTCAGATCTAATGGCTCAAAATGAGTCAAAAGTGAACTAAATTTGATCAAAAACGCGGTGGCAATTTCGTAATTAAAACGAAGTTTTTTGCCATTGCGAAAAAGTGCAACATAAACACGCAAAAGTGCAACACGGTGAGGAAAAAGTGCAACCGTTCGCACTTTGCACGGGAGAACCTCTTTTTATTTGATCTCTTCCCTATATATATATATATATATATATATATATATATATATATATATATATATATATATATATATATATATATATATATATATATATATATATATATATATATATATATATATATTGGAAAATTCTCAGGTCCAGCACCTCCCGGTCCGAACGCCGTCCGAACACCGCCGTTTGGGGCGGTTCCAGGTGGAATTTTTTGATGATTTTTTTTGAGCATGTTCCTCATCAAGTCTAGTTTATCCATACCAAATATCAGGTCAAAATTCAACCGGGAAGGGAGTCAAATAATTCGTTGAATTTAACTGCGTTTTTCTATGTATAATTTGGCACAGTTAACTTCAACGAATTATTTGACTGCCTTCCCGATCGAATTTTGAGCTGAAGTTTGGTATGGATAAACTAGACTTGATGAGGAACATGTTAAAAAATTTTAATCAAAATATTCCGCCGGGAACCGCCCCAAACGCCGGTGTTCGGACGGCGTTCGGACAGAAAAGTGCTGGACAGAAAAGTTATGCCGATTGAGACTTATGATGTTAATATTAGAGATGAGTTGAGGAGACGTTATTTGAGAAAAGGGCCTTGCCAACCGCGTGACTTTAAATTTCCACAAAGTGATTTTAATGGGTGCAACAGATCATTCCAAAAACAGTAGTTTTATTTAAATTTTATAGTTTTGTTTATTGCTATACTCGTGATGCATATGATTTTTTTCTAGACTAGTATATCATTTCTTTGTTATTGTGCCCCTGCGAGTCACGAGTCCTGGTTCCGCCACTGCCTGGATATGGCTAACCTTTCATTCCTTTAACTATGAACAATGCCTAGCCCTATAGTCATATAACAATCCTTAGGATCCAACGTGGACGGGTCCCACCTGAACGGCCCACGTTAACCTACTCAAAACTGCCCGTTTTGAGCATAAACCAATACTCGATCGAGTATCTACCCATACTCGGTCGAGTACAGGAGGCAGTAGCCCACAAAGCTGATTTTCAATGTATACTTGATCGAGTATCTACCCATACTCGATCGGGTATAGGAGGCAGTAGCCTCCTGGGCAATTTTTCAACAAATACCCGGTCGGGTATGTGTCAATACCCGGTCGGGTATGGCAGTTGACTTGGCGGTCAACGCCCGTTTGACCACCCAAACGGAGTCCGATTAACGTGAAATTTTATACACATATACTTCTTGACATCCTTGATCCAAAAATACCATTTTGGATCCCTGGAACATCACACATAATAAGTTATCACATTTGTTATCACCAAACATACATAACATGCTTTTCAACTATGTTTTATGTATAATCATGGTATAAGCAAATACTTGATTATTCTTAATCATTCCATAAAACATATTTTTGATTACTTTAGGTAATATCATGCCTCACGCAAAAGTCATAAAGAATAAAGCCATCTTCTCACCTTAATGAAGCTTATGAAGTTCTAGTCTTCCCGATTTAGCTCCGGCGAAACTCCGACGAACTTCAACGAACTCCGGCGACAACTCCGGCGCCCCATTCAACTCCGTGAAAGTTCCTTGAATACCATAGAAAAGTTACTAACAAGGTTTTATCATCATAAAACCCTTAGTAATACAAATAACCTCAAAAAGGTTATTTTCCGGCGAACCGGTCACTTCGGCTTCTAAGTCCGTTCTTGGACTTAGAACTACCTTCCAACCCCTCATTCTACACTTCCAAACGTGTAGAACAATCCTAGGGGGTGAAATATGATTGAATAATCATATAAGAGGATTTAAGAACAAGAAATGGGATTAATGGAGTCATTACCTTGTTAAACACAAGTTTTCCCACCTAAACTCCTCTTTTCTTTTCTCTTTTTCCTTTCTTCTTCCTCCCTTAACTTGGTGCGTGTATGATGGATGAAAATGGGTTATTTGAAGAGCTTCTCTCACTTGGTTGATGCCTGATACGAATGGGGTGAGTTGGTATGATTGAGAATGCCTTCTTGGCATTTCTCACAATCATGGCATGTGGGAGGCCCTACTCCATTTAATGCCTTTCCCCTCAACCCCTTTTCTTTCCCCTCCCCCTTCTCTTTGTGCGGCTACCCTTGACATTTGCAGCACCAAATAGGTGGGGTGGCCCCCACTCATGTGGGAGGTCATCCCTTTATGTCCCCAAGTGTACAATCGGTCCCGAAAGTTGTATTTTCCGGACTGTTTCAATTATATTTTATTTTATCAGGTCAAATAAAATGTAACACTTGTTCTCAATCCTTATTGGACCTTAGAATGAATATGCATTCCTCAACTTTAATTTAGAAGTCTCCGAAATCCCTTTTCGGGTTGTTATCTCATAAATTGCCCATACTGATACTTTGGCCCCGTTTGATCAACCGGTCAACCCTATGCCATTGTCATGGCCCAATTTGGATACCCACCACCATATACATATTATCTAGTCCAAGATTAATATAATATGTGGTCCCGATAATATCGGGCGGCCCCACATCCGGTGTGGGCCCCACGTGAATTTTACTATTCACGTAAAAGAAATGATAAAAATTTACAATCACGTAAAAATGCTTTTATACATTTCTCAGGGTTCAATACATGATTTGAGAAAGTACAAATACTTGGGGGCGGTGTTACAAATATGGTTGAATATGCAAATAACTTTGTCAAAATTTCTAAATTATACAAACAAACTAATAGTTTTTCATCTTTTTTGAAATTAAATTTATTCTTGGAGGGGGTTTTATGCATCATTAATGATAACACAGGGGGGTTTGACGCATTTTTTAAATCACAGGGGGCTAATGCGCCGAATTTACATTTCATGACGGGGTTTGATGCATTAAACCCGCACATACACAAAAATCTGATAGTGCCAAATATATCTTGAACTTTCAAATCATATTCTCCGTCATTGGCGGTGTCGGCCAATAAATATCCAACATTGACAAAAAATGTTGACAGTGCTAGACATTTTTTTCTCTATTTTTTTCATCCGGCGTTTCGTATCATTCACCGAATTAAAAAAGTGATTTTTACCCAAAATACAATTATTTTCAAAATTCTTCACAAACCTTTTTTCTGTGAAATTAGGTGATAGAAAATAACGTCACCGGAAAAAAACGTTTTTACAAGGAATAGACGATTTTTGGCACTCTCAAAATATTTTTTCCATCTCTAGACATTTATTGACAATGTTACCGACATTCTTTTGCAGTGGTCTACTCCTACCAGAAGAAATTATCGACATACTTTTTTGACAATGTGTACAATTTCTTTGGTCACTTTGTAAACTTTTTGTATGTGTCGAATATTTATTTATCGCCTATAAAATTTGATTTTTTCGGTTTACATTTTCATATGATGTAACTTTAGAGACAAAATTGCTGATGTGAATTTTTCTTTTAAAGCAATATAATTATTCTTATTGTGTTTGAAGTTATAATTATAATCGTATCAAAAGTTAATGGTGTTGGTTTAGACTTGTCTGCGAGGATAACGTTTACAAAAACCCGGACAACTCAGGTGTCATATATATAAACTCAAAAACACTGAAACTGTGTTTCAATGTTGGTGCTATTTAAAAGACCAAATCTTTGATTTTCCCTTATTTAAATTCTCGGTATGTTAATGATCAAAATTGAATACCGACAAAGTGAAAGTGTTAATTTGGAGTAAGTTTTTAATACATATGCCATCATCATGTCTTAGATAAAGTGGAAGTACCCGCACGGGTAGTTCAGTTGGTTGAGTGGTGGGAAATTTGGATCAAGGGACCAAAGTTCGAATCCCGCAGTGATCATATGGAGGTTACACCCGCTAAAATGGGCTGGACCTCTAACGCGCACAGGTATATGGGCTTACTGCCTCTTCGCTGACGGAGAGACCGTGATTTACATCCTCCCACGTGCCCTGTTGGATCGGGTGTGGGGCTCCGGGCAGAAGATTCCACCTTCTTTGGATCAAGATAAAGTGGAAGTGGAAGGTGCGAAGCAGTTTCTACTTTCTTTTTATAAATGCATACACATAGCTAGCATACTAGCATCGATCAGGCAGGAGAAAAATGGAGCTTAGCAGCGGGAATGAAAAGCAGTTGTACCAAAACGTCATCGTAATGAGGCACGGGCCACGCCTCGATAACTTTGACAAGAGTTGGACTAGCGGCGCAAACTCCGACCGTCCCTGGAACCCACCGCTATACGACGGCGACGAGTTCAAGAACCTTTACTCAGAGACGGCGAAGAAGATTTGGGAAGAGGTCGGAGCCCCGATCCACCGCGTCATCGTCTCCCCTTTCCTCCGCTGCCTGCAGACGGCGTCCAGGACCATCGAAGCCCTCTCCTCCCAAGAACTGTTGTCCTCCTCAACCACCGCCGGCGTCGTACATTTCAGTCCTCCCCAAATTAAGGTTTCTTTCTCTGCTCTCTTCAATCTTGGCTTGCTTTTTACGGAGTATATCTTTATTTTTTTATATTAAAGCCAAGCCAAATTCACATGGTTACCGGTCATTGCGGAATTGAAGGGTCAAGATCACTTTGGTCAACCCTAATGAAAATAATAGAATGAACTAACTAGACAAAAAAGTTGTTTAAGAGCAAAAATAGGTCTACATCTTTTAAATTCTCCGAGACTATTTATGTGTGTTGGACAAATATTCCCTAAAATCTTTTAAATTGTCTTAATTAATAATACAAACATAATAAAAATCGTAAATAAATATTAAAAAAATGTAAAAAAATAATAAAATATGTATAAAATATTTATAAATTAAAAAAATTAATTTACATATAAATATTTAAAAAATTTAAAAAAATTAAAACGTAAAAAGAACACTGCTGCCTCTGGCACCCACGTACCACCACCTCCCATCACCGTTTGGAAATTATTTTACTATTTTTTTATGTTTTTTAATATTTATTTACTATTTTTATTAGGTTTTTTATTATTAATTAAGATGAACACCACCAATTGTCATATTGGTGATGTTCATCTTAATTTCTCTGGCCATCCTCTGTTCATGAAAAATGTTTATCACGTGCCTCAAATAAAATACAATTTACTTTCTATTCATAAATTGTGTGCTGATAACAAATGTATTGCTATCTTTGATAAAATTAAAATTCGTTTTTTTGTTAAGGACAAAATGTTCTCCAAGCTTCCAGCAATGGATGTCTTTATCCTCTTAGCCCGCCTGCCCCTAATCTTGTTACTACTAATATTTAAAACTCAACATTGCTCTGATACCCTGTTAAGATTTGGGGTCCATCCTAAAAAGTCTATATGATAGGAAGAATAGTCCAAATCTTAATACAACTCTTTATTATTTCACAATTTTCCAGTGTGAGATTTCAACACCCCTCTTCACGACCGGACCTTTCGTCTGGGTCGTGCCATCATTTACTTTTTCATCAAGTCGTCATTGTCATTATTTACAACAATCGTCATTTTCCATAGGGGTACACACTACTATTATTATTATGGGTTGATTTGGCTCTGATATCACATGTTAAGACCTGAGTTTCAATTCTAAAAAATCAACCTTATATTTAGGTAGGGTAATCCAATATCTTAATATAACACTTTATTACTTTATAATTTACCGATGTGAGACTTTAATACCCCTTTTCATGCATGACAAGATGTGTCTAGTATTAATCATGGTTTAATGTATATCTTTCTTACATCTACGGATGAGGCTATATTCTTAATTTGCAACATTGCAACCAGGGAGGTGGTGCAATTGCCAGCTTCTCACAACCTTTAAGTCATAGTGCTTTTAGAATTCAGGCTTGGGTTTGACTGAGTCAATAACAATTAAGAAATTGTGGCTACTCACATGCCTTTACTTGGGAGGTGGCAGGCCGATGTGTACTCAGTCCGAGATGGTCGTTGGCATTCCTTAAAAGACACGGGCCCACTTGAGAGCATTATGCTCTTGAACGTGAATCTGCTTTAAATGCAAATGGCTTGGAAGATTTATATTATGTCTTCTGAAAAGTTTTTGTCTTGAGAAGAAAATTGAGTTTGAACCGAGACATAATGTGTGTGTGTCCAAATCGATTGGTGTGGGTACTATGAAAAAAATTGTGATGATTATATTTGATCATGAAAATTGGTGTTGAAGTTTCACAACGATAAATTATGAAGTAATATATATTGCTATTTTAAGATCTTGGGTTACTTACTCCCCTTATCAAGTTAACCTTTTAGGATAGCACCTCGGGTCTTAACATGGTATCAGAGCAAAATCGATACACGTTTCACATGAAGTGTCTGATCGTGAGGAGAGATGTTGAAATCTCGCACTAAAAATTGTGAAATAATAAAGTGCTATATTAAGATCCAAGTTACTCTTTTTATTAGGTTAATCATTTAGGATAAAATCACAGATCTTAACATACTTTTTCTCCAGAATGAACTGCCGGCATTAATTCTTTTATATCTTTTTTATAAAAATACATTCGATGAAAAGATTTACTTGTTATCGGACATAATTTGCAAGTTACACGAATAATTATGAGCATGTGCATACTGACAAGATCTATAAGGAAATCTAAACAAAAGCAAATATTACAGAACAATTTTATATTGTGAAAACTATGAGTATATAAATACACATAAAACCAAATTGATAACTTAATTGGTGGCCGGGGTAATGGAGAGAGTTTAGATATGATGATTGATGATAGTTTATTAGCAGAGATGTGGTGTATATCGAGGTAACTCATAGTCATTGTACATAAAATATCAGAAAAAACTGTTGGTACAAATAAGTTGTACACATTTTGTGTACACCCTCTAGTTGCCTGTGTACACAACTAGCTGTTTATATCAGTGTTGATTATACACAATAGTGCTGATACTCAAATTAAATGACCACACATTTTTAATAAAAATAAGCATAAACCATTATGTGCTTTGTTATTAAGAACCCATTTGGTAACACTAAAAATAGACGAATTAGCCAATTTCATTGAAATTGATTAAGTTTTGGTTGAAGCGGTTGAATTGATCAAATATGTAGAATTACGAAAAAAATACATTTAAAATATATGGAGTATTTTATTCATAAAATAAATAAAAAATTATATGAAAAACAGCTAAATCGTCCTATATAGTAACCTCAACCAATTCAACTAAAACACTAACTTCAACCTTACTTAATTATATTGATTACGTATCATACAATTCAGCGCAAGAAATCAAAAGTTACGTATTTGGTGAAAAATTGGTTGATAAGGTTGATAAACCGGAAATAGGGATCATCAAGTGGGCTCTAATAAGTTTTTCTTTGTAAACTTTGCGGATCATGCTTCATTGGATCATCGAGTAAATTACATCTCTACTTTATTGTCAGGCATCAGTTGAGTATGGATTAGCAGAAATGATGAACAAGATAGCAATATGGGTACCTCCTCAAGATGGAGATTTTAAATTTGTAATCTCAGAATGCGAGACTCACTTACCACCGGAAACCCTACGTCACAGTACTACACAACAAGTCTATGAGAAGGTGGTTTTAAAAGACTATCTAGAGATAGGATAATAGATTAATATTATTTTATTGAGTGAGAGTGAACATATATATGCCCTAATAAATGAATATACCCTTCAACCTTTTTTGAACAATTTAAACACAAATAATTGAGCACATATACATTAAATTATGTTCACTCTAAATTTGAATATTTGCAACACCTTTTTGTATGCATTTAAATATTTACAATACTTTCTTTTGTAGTAAGTTTTTCATTAAAAAACTCCCAACATTTTTTACGTGTTCTACACTTTTTATCTTCTCTTTCATATAGAATATTTTTTATCCTTCTATCTTGTTTCTTACACATTTTCTACATACTCTTACTATCCTGGCCTTAAACTTTAGAAAAAATTCCTTAAGTAGGAATGAAAAACATAGACAAATTTAACTCATTCTATATAGACTCTTTCACCCTTAATTGGGAAAGCTTTATATTTTAAATAGAACTAATGAATATATAAGTCCTATTTTGAAAATAAAATATAGCTACTTCTCGTTGTTCACTTTTCCGGCCTATGTTTTACTCATTTTCGGAGCAATTTCTTTAAACTTCTTTATATAAAAGTCTAATGTTGCAAATAAACAAATACGAACGGAGTATATAATACTTTGTAGAACATATAACACCTTATGTCCAACGTATTTGTTACAACGTTATAATTTTTTTGTTTAATTAATCAAAAAAGTTGATCTATATGTGTGTGTGTGTGTGTTGTCTCTCGTATTATTTACTACTCCGGAATATATATGATTTTATAGAGAAAACTTAATCATTTACTAATTAAAACTTTTTCTTGGAGAAAATATTTCAATAGCTACCGGAGTGGGAAGAGACGCAAGAAGTTGCATGGGATAGGTATAATAAAGTTGTTCGTGCACTTGCTGATAAATATCCTCGTGAGAACTTGTTGTTGGTCACACATGGTAAATATCTCTTCTCCATTGATTAAAAAAGTGGTTTAAATGGAAAAAACGAGAAGATTGACTGACACTAAACAATTAAAGTAAAGTGATGTTATGATAGTTTTGTCAATGAATATAATGGTACCTGAATATTATGGTACACTATACACTATTGTGGTACGAGTGGAAATGTTTGATATACCGTATTGAATCACCCCTATTTAATTTGCAAATAATTTTTTATAACTAAAAATCCTGTCTTTATAGGTTGTGAATTAATCACCAAAATGTACCATTACTTATGAAAAAATGGCGTAGGAAAAGCTCCCACCCACATATAATTTTGTACAAAAAAAGTACATTATATTTTAATGGAAAAGTCTTTAACATTAATGAATTTCTGCGTTACATTACATTATTGATAAGTGAGTATAGTTAGAAGATCATCAATTCTCACCATCATAAAAATCTCCGATTTTTTCACATTATCTGAGTTTTAATTTTAGTGATCATATTCGGCAGTTAGTAATAGGGAGTACTTTTTTTTATTCCACAATCCATTGTTAGTTTTATCTAGTTAGGAAGAAATGTCCTGGACTGAGTATATAAAATGATAAAAAAAAATTAGCAAGACCATTGTGATTACCAATATGAGACCAAATTAAATACGGAGTACTACTTATAAGATTTTCCTTATCTACTACGGTATTATACTAGCCTTTGAGTTCGCAACATGTCACAGTTATACCAAATATACTACATATATAGTAGTATACAAGTGTGTTATATCCACTAATTATATGATCATTAGGAGCTGAGCTCTGTTAATTCTTTGTGTAAGAATTCATTTTCAAGAAAAATAATGAAATGATGATGATGATGAGCTTATGCGGAAAGTATAATGTGTTCAATTTTAGTTTTATTTTTGATATTTTCTGATACATATGTTGCTATGTATTAGCCGAAGGAATAATGGCTTTGGCATCTACATTCATAGAAGGTGGGCGTGCACGAGCGGATTATTGTGGATATGTACACTTAAGAAGACCTGTTATCAATTTCGTGTTACAGGGCCAGTCTCACATTACATTGCGTGGAAATTAAAGTGATGAATCATTATTACCATCATCATATGCGCTTATGAATAATCTACCCTATTCTTACCGATGAGATTCTTCTTCTTTAGTTTCAAACATTTCATTTTCATATCTTTGTAATGAACCTCTTAATGTGTGGAATTTTATTTTTAATTGTTCTATCCATATAATTAAGGATTATTAGCTAAACATATCCCCAACTATCATCAAATTCACAAATCTATCCCATACTTCCATTTTTATTAAAAGGGGAAAATAATTAAAATACCCCAAACTTTGAAGGGGTGTGAGATAAACACCCCAAACTTACATATGTAATTTAAATACCCCAAACTTTATATAAAAAGTTATTCAGCACCATGGTCATGAATAATTTCTTTCAAGCTTGATAAATTTAGCATTCATAAAGATACAATTAACATTCTAAGCTTCCATTGTAAAATAAATAGTATTACCCACCACTATATATAATTAGGCTAAAAGGTCAAATAGGTACATGAACTAACTTAAAGTTTTCAATTAGCCCCTTATATAGGAGGTTTTGTCTGGCCGTCACCAATTGGGAAAGTTCCCGGTAGAATTTTTTGATGAAAGTTTTTGAACATCTTCTTCATTAAGTCTAGTTTACGGATAACAAATTTCAGCTAAAAATTCAACCGAGAAGGTTGTCAAATGATTTTTGAAGATAACTGCGTAGTTAAACAACGCAGTACATTTCGGAAAATCATTTGAACTGCCTTCCCGATTTAATTTTTAGCTGAAATTTGATATGGGTAAACTAGACTTAATGAAGAAGATGCTCAAAAAATTTCATGATTTTTTTTTTCGGGAACCGCCCCAATTGGCGACGGTCGGGCAGAAACTTCTATATAAGGGACTAATTGAACACTTTAAGTTAGTTCATGTACCTATTTGACCCTTTAGCCTATATAATTATAATGTTTTCAATTTTCTATTTTAAAGTATGCATTTAACACCATAAATTTACACTTTTGAAAGAAATTACACATAACCATGATGTTAAAATAACTTTTTATATAAGTTTGGGGTATTTAAATTACATATGAAAGTTCGTGGTGTTTATCTCACACCCCTTCAAAGTTTGGGGTATTTTAATTATTTTCCCCTTATTAAAAAGAGACTCAAACTTAAACATTTCCCACAATTACACTTTCAATTGATGAATTAGTAAATTTTAAGAAAAAAAATCATATTTGTATTTTACATTTTTTAACTTCTTTCTATTTTTAAGGAAACTTGTATTGCTTATATTTTATTAGTATTGATAAAAATGTGTAATTTTGAAAAAAGAAAAAAGAAAAGCATAATTGTTAAAACAGATGAAGTTTGAGTCTTTTTTATAGAAGTGAAAGAATATGATAGATTTGTGAATTTGATGATGGTTTGAGATAAAAAAGCTAATAATCCTATAATTAATTACTCTACATGCATATGGCTTGCTTTTTTTTTGATTTTACCTTCCATATTTATGGTAGTTGTATTATGTAAACAATTTCATTTAATATGTTGTTAATGATAATCATACTAGGAGTCCATTTGGTGACACTGAATTTGAGTGAATCCTTTGAATCTGATAAAATTGATGAGATTGTAGCTGAAATGACTGAATAAGCTGAATTTACTGAATTATAGAAAAATATACTTAGAATATATTTTAATAATTTACTTAATGAAAAAATATATGAACAAATAGCTAAAATGATCATCTATTGCAATTTCAACTAATTCAGCCAATTAAAGTAACTTTAATCTAACTTATTTTTTTATTATTACAGAATCAAACGCGTGAAATCAAAACTTGTGTGTTTGATAAAAAATGGTCGAAAAGAATGATAAGCTGAAACAGATTTTATCAAATGGGCTTTAAGTTAAAGTTTATATTTGAGGTGAGTTCGTATAATAGGGAAGAGAATCAAACTGCAATTAGCGAATGAAATAACAAAAGAAATAGGATAATAGTATGTGTGTGTGTGTGGTGAAGTTCTATTAAGAAGAGCACTTTATGTGAGAAATCAGAATATATCTCACTTGTCGGATTCAATTATGTTGCAGTAAGAAAAACTTCATGTTGCTCTAGCTATATATATAAAGTTCTATATATATAGAGCACTTCATATATATGGAGTAGAATTTCGTTAAAAATTGTACTCGTTGGTTCAACACTTCAATCGAGTGTTGAAAACGCTTTGGAGTGTCTTTGAAAGGGGGTTTTGGGTCTAAGTATGCTTGATCCCTTATTGAGTACATACAAAAAATAATATTGATAATCTATGTATTGTGGCAAATAGCTTGTGATTCGATGACATCACTAGTGTCACCCAAGGAGGAGTTCATAGAGTCTCAACTCATCTCAGTTCAAGGATTTTGGCATTTAACGAAAAGAAAATTCTATAATAAAAGTGTAAGGACGTCCAACAAAAAAAGAAAAGCATATTGTGTTGACACTTTCTTTATTTGAGTGTTTTAAAATAAATTGTTAATTCCATAAAAAGAATATACTACTGCATCCATATCAGATAAGTACATGTCATGTATAAAGTTGAAGGAGAAGTAGCGCCACAGCTTCCTTGTAGTGTAAGGTGATTCATATGCTAGTAGTATATAGTATGTGTGCACGACCAAACTTTCAAAAAAAAATCATGTATTAGCAGAATGTCTGTCACGCCCCGGACCTAGCCGGACACGTCAACAACCCGCCGTACAGTACGAATAGTCAACCGCAGTCCAACTCATCCATACTATACAAGGCGTCGTGAATATCATTCACACATAGTACATCCATAGACAAACATAATGTAAAACATTCATTTAAAACAGCGGAAGCATTAATACAATTGTTCAAGCCACACTTGGCATAACTAGGCATATAAGCCCCCAAAGTAGTTATTCAGAAAATAATATCCATGAGCATTGTTATAATTATTTTGAAACCAGGAAACGGAAGAAGCACGAACCACGTCTTCTCCCTTGAATATCCCCGAAGCAACGGGCGCCGGTAGCAACCTTCAAATTCTACCTGAAACTGTGAGGTGGCCTCCCCCGTGAAGGGGAGGTCAGTACTTGGAAATATTTGACAAGTACAATAGCAACTATACTAAGTATAATCAACGTTTTAATTTCCAAGACCCACAAAATAGGGTGATATCATAACATACATAACAATTTATATTTCCCACTTATTATCTTTATAATAAGTGAATTTATTTATCTGTCGGCACACGGCCCTTCTTATATGTTCCTTTTCATTTATCATTTGCACAACCCAACCTTTGGGTCTTATTATTTCTACGGGACTTGCTACCGCTGTCCGAGACCTCATGAGGCTCCCGGTTCGGACTCCAACATCCCGCCCCTGGACTCATACCCATCATCCCGTAGGAAGGTAAGGCCCTTCGGGGTCCTATCTTATGTGTTACCGCTACCGGAACCTAGTTACGTCTCCGATTCGGATTCCACCCTAACCCGTGATCACGATGTAAGTCCATGCTATCCAACCCCGCTCTCTAGAGTCGGGAAGGGCCATGGTCCTTACTATTTCCATAATTCGACCGGCTATCCACAAGGACTACCGAACACACCCGTAGGCCAATCCTATACTTAGGACCAATTTAATATTTGCATTATCTTGGGTATCCCTTAAGGCCTACCCCTAGTATAACTTAAAGTTCATACTTTCCTTCCTTAAAGCATCTCTTAAGACTACTTAAGGCATAACATTTCACAATCCAACATTAGGATCAATCTTTAACAACATTTTATTTTAATGTCCAACTAGTATCTTAATACTAGTCAAGTTAATATCAACAAACCAAGTTCTCAACTCATAGTCATATAGACAATTCCAACTGATTTTCCTTTGAAAAATATCATTTATCTCAATATTCAAAATATCACTTTTAATCACTCATATATTCTAATATGAAGAAAAAGTATATTTCAACATATGTTTCATAATCAATTCCACTTTCAAGTCAACATACTCATAACACATGAACATACACCATTTACTCATAAATGTGTATATCATGCTCCCTTTTTCTTTAGACATTTAGTCTTGTCATTTTGTAGGCATTATTAATCATTAATAATCCATAAAAATACTTTTAATTACCTTCGGTAATCTCATGAAATTAACTCATTAATTATAAGCAATATAGTCAGTCATCCTCACCTTATGAAGTGCTGAAATAGTTGCCTTTGCTAAGCTCCTCGATCAATCCCCGTTCTAGTCCGATTGAAAGTGGAAAACTGGATTTCTGGGCAAAAGCCGGACGGCTTTCACGAAAGCCGGGCGGCTTTCGTGGTCTGCAACTACGACTAGCTCCTTTGAAGTGGCGGTTTCCGGCGATTTCGACTCCTATCGATTGGCCAACCCTCCTAAGTTAATTACCACCACTTTATATCAATATTCTACACTTTTAAACGTGTAGAACTCATGATTTAATCCACCATATGATTTCTTAAAAATCATGCACAATAAAACTAGTTAAAGAGCTATTTGGTGTTCTTACCTCAAGCCTAGCTCTTCTCCTTGGATTCTCTAGCTTCTTCTTCCTCAATGAGGCCTTGGGAATTTGGTTTCCTGGTGTTGGAGATATTTTATTGTGAATCAAGTTGGTCATAGATTAGCTTTATATTTAATCCTTGTATTTAAATAGTGCATAAATTAGATAGAAATCAGGCCAAGTGTTAGGCCCATTTAAACAGGCCAAAAGCCTGTTTCGCCTAACCTAAACCTCGCCTATAAAAAGGGAGCCGAGGTTTAGGAAAAGGTTGAACGTCGTACTTATTATTCATAGCCTTACGCTTATATCATTCTGCTGTACGTTCCACGGTTTATCAAAGAAGGTTTTACGGTGATTCATTCTGTGTTCATCTTTACGTTTAATCTTCATTGTTAGATCGATTATTCATTGTTGTTACAGAAACAGGGACTAACAATTGGTATCAGAGCCGATCGAGAACGATCAGAAGAACTCCTGCAGAATACTCTGTTTTTGTTTAAGTAGTTCATTCTGTCGATTTTTTGCTCTGTAATTCTGTTTCTTGTTCAAAAGTTGTAAAAGTTAAACCTTTGGAATCGCCTTTTCAAAGCGATCAAAGGGTATACTTCAGTTTGTGTTTTATGCAATTTTTGATTT